AAAAATAAAAGTGTGGTGGCGACTATTGTTTTATGAGTTAAGTTAATCAATAACTTAATCTCAAATTTTCTCTACAGGAAGGGACCTTTATTTATAGGGTACAGATTCACACAAAAAAGAAAGATTTGTATGGCCAATAATGATAAGTCAATCGATTGACATCATGCTCCCTCAATTGGTAGGCCTAAAATTAATTGATTAATAAGTTAAAAAAGGTAATGTGTTTGTGTTTGTGTGTGTGTGTGTGTGTGTGTGTATCCCTTAAAATTCATTAAGGCATTGTCTTATCGATTATGGAGCATTTTTTTAATTGTCCCAGACGATTGGAAGTAGTGTTAATCGATTGGTAAGAACCAAAACCTGCCCATAGCTTTTCTGATACTATTTCTCCGCCTTTTTGATGGCATCTTCCATCTTAGTTATCCAGACATCCAGAGTGGAAAGAGAGCTGTAAATTTTTGTATTCTGCTCTTATACTTGGTCGGGAAACAATCTTTTGTGACCCATAGTTCTTATCCTGAATAATTCGGTGTGATATGGTCGTATATTTGTATTCTGTTCCGGGTCACAGAAGATTGTTTCCCGACCAAGGATAGGAACTATGTCACTACCTCCAAGGCTTGGCTCAGATCGAGGCCGACGTCTCCAGGTTCCACCGCATATGCCCTTGGATTGGCTAGATCCGAAAGGGGTGTGCCAGCTACGCAAAAATGTGTGTAATATGCCTAGGATGAGAAATTATGTGAGGAATGTGATTAAGCGATGTAAAAATCACATAAATGTGTTAAGTTTGTATCGGGATACGCAACCAGGAATGGAATGAGTTTAAGTCGTGTCAGAATTGCAAAGTTGTGTTAAGTTTGTATCGAATGCACAACCAAACATGGAGTGTGTTTAAGTTGTGTCAGAATCACAAAAATGCATTAAGTTTGTATCAGATGTGCATCAATGTATTTCATATGTCATCTTTGTCCTAAGCACTCTAAAAGAAAGAGAGACAAAGAAGCATACAATAGAGGAAGAAAAAACATATATATATATATATATATATATATATATATATATATATATATATATATATATATATATATATATATATATATATATATATATATATATATATATATATATATATATATATATATATATATATATATATATATATATATATATATATATATATATATATATATATATATATATATATATATATATACACACACACTCACAGACACACACACACACATATAGTAACAATGAATTTAATTTGTTGCAATAAATAATGAAATGGCTAGATACATAGACCTTTAATGGTGACTCTGATGTGGATGGACGACGTCTTGAGTCTTTGGTCGCTATCCTCCCCTAGGGTTTTAGGGCGGGCGCACTTTTATTCTTTAGGGTGTCTCCTTCGGTTGGACGAGGTGTCAACGTACACTGCTTTATATTTATCCTCTGATGTGTCGTTGAATGGTCGACTTCACCGGGGTTGTAGCTTGAGGGAGACCATTGAAACTTTGGGACCACAAAGTTGCCTCTGTCTAATGCTCATATGAGGTACTTTTTGATCACCTGGGATAAAATCCCCCGTCTTGTTCCTTAATCTGGAGTGGGTGTCTACCTCAAGTGGATGGTAAGTGCCTGACAACTGGCTTATGGGTGATTCAATTTGTTTACCATACGGCCCGATGGTCGGCTTCCTTTAAACCCGGGAGGATGTTCAGATTTGGACGACGTTTCTTGAGAAATATGTTTGAGAAAATATTCTTGTCTAGTGTTTCCTTTAGAACGGGAAGTTGAGCGACGATCAGAAGTCGCTTCTAAGATCTGGGGTACCTTCTCCCCGAGGCCACTTAAAGGATGTTGTTTACGAACAACCTAGTTCATACCCCGACCCCGGTGGAACTACTGCACTTATTGGACATACTGTATTTGCATCTGAACACTAGTGAGATCTAATTTTCAATGTCAAACAACCAATCAAAATATGAGGTATATTTATTCAACATTCAAATGGCTTCAGAAATATGTTTTAAGGACCTAGTACTCAAGTTCTTGTCCAAGTAAGTAATGTTGGATGAAAAACAATATAGTGATTGTGTCAAAATAAATCAAAATATGGTGAGTTTAATTATCATATCCACAAGAATTATGTATATCCTCCCACAAGGAATAAACGATTGCATTTGGGATGGTAGTGCAATGAATGAGTGACATAACAGAGGGTGCACTTAGCATAATTGATTGATTGTGTGCTAATATTAAAGAATAATAACTACGATCAACAAATATAACTAAAAGTAATTAGGTTTTCCTTTTGAATTGTCAACCCCTAGATGTGAGAATTTGTATGACTACTCTTATCACAACTCTTATTATGAACTTTTGCAAAACACAAAATTATGTCCTCACAACCTCTAAGATATTAGGAATCTCCAATCACAAGGCATCTTGATTTGCCAAAAGAACTTCTGAGGTATTAGGAGTCTTCAATTGCTAAGACAAAAGTTTTATGATACGTAAATAAGAAGTTAATTTTGAAAAACATTGAAATACACATTTCTACCTCTCAGGTACTGAAAGTCTTCAATTGCAAGAACACTCGCTTCGTCAAGGCAACCCCCAAAGTACTGAAACTTTCCTATTGCTATAACTGAAGTCGTGTAGCACATAAAACTATATTAATGAATGAGATTATCCCCCCCCCTCCCCTCACAACGCGAACAATGATTGTAATCTCACAATCCTACCATTTAGATAATAAACAAATTATCATCGAGTCTTATTCCCCACTAGATCAATTCTCCCATAGAGAATACATTAAACATAAATAAAACTATATATTAATATCATAAGTCATTACATAACTAATAGATAACATAAGACCATAGATAATACATATATTTAAATTAGAATCATCTAGAGATATCTTAATCTAATAGGACTAGTCATCTATCCATAAGATTTTGTTCTCTAGTTTGGAAAGGATGAAAAGTTGGAGTTTCGAACAACAATTTTTTTAGAAAAAATATAAGAAAATCCTTAATAGTTTTTGAAAAAATATTTTATATAAAATGATAAAAAAAATATTTATCATTAATATTTTTTTACTTTTGATAGTCAATTTAGACAGTGTCGCTCATTTTGGAATCACACGTTATCAGATAATTTTTTTATTTTTTTATTCTCACCCTTAGACAAAGTTAAAATTACGTCGATGGGCTTGTTTAACGTCTCTATATTCTTCACCGATAATACCTCATGTCTTTTTTTTTTATTTCACTATTGTGTTCTATTTTCATTCCTCTCTTTAATTCTTCATCATAACTTTCATATTGAAATACTATTAAAAAAAATAGTTAGAATGATTTTATCATAATTTAGTGTTCTTCATAAATCTTTGAATTCTTTATTAAAACCAACAAAACAAAAATATATTAACAATAAACACTCCTAAAAATATCTCAATTTTTTTAAGTACTAAACATGTTATAATGAACTGTTATCTTAAACCCCCACTTGTGAACCTTGTCAGCTTCTTATCCTATTTATGTGTCATATGATAAAGGAATGATTGATTTAATAATCATTTCACGCTAACAAGCAATGAACTAACTATTAACTTCTACAATTGTAATACAATTCACTCTTCACTATCTATACCAAAAATATGTCTCTATCTCTCCCTTGATCTCTCTTCACACCCCATTCGGAAGAGATAATCTCACTCATATTTTGGTGTAGAGCAAGGAGGAAGATCTATTTCATTTGTTAAATCCTCACTAAAAAAACAGCTGTACTACATTTATTTAGTGATTTATAATCTAAAATATTGTTAGTATGGGAATTATGTAAAGTGAGAAACATAACTATGAGAATTAGGTATGTGATACAACGTGAGAAACATTGAATCATACCAAATAATGTTGATACAGTGTGAGAAACGTTGATTCATGCAAAGAAGGCGTGTACTCATTAGTTTAATCTGCTTAATACTAAGATTTTTGTTTAAAAAACAATTTAGAATTACAAACTTTTATATCCTAAAGACAATTTGATCAACAGAAGTTACTATAGAAATTGACTTGAAATACTCGATACTTTCTAAAATACTATGATGAAAACTTGTAACAAAGTGTTTTGGAATAATACAATTGAACGAGCATCAATTGCAGGCCCAATCAAACTAGCAAGCATTCTCCAGTCACCCCACAACATCAAAGACAAACATTTTGAACGTAGTTCAACACACAACAGAATTTAACATACAAAACATAAAGATTAAGGGTAGACATAACAAAACTCTTTTATAAATTAAAAACTTTAGCATCCCTCAGCAGCAAATTGAAGATATAAACCTTTCCGCTACCTTTTGAAAATGAAGTTCTCAATACCAACATAATTAACACCAAAAACAGTACCACCGCCGATCAAGAACCCAGTTCTGTAAGTTAATACTGGGAAAACAAAACCGGAAAAGCAAAAAACTAAGACTCTGAAAATATGATAAACTATTATAAAGAAACAACATAGGAAGTAACCATGGAGTGAAATCACTTCTTCTTGGCTGCAGCTTTGGTGACCTTGGCTCCAGTTGGGTCCTTCTTCTCCACACTCTTGATGACTCCAACAGCAACAGTTTGTCTCATGTCCCTCACAGCAAAACGTCCAAGAGGAGGATACTCAGCAAAAGTTTCCACCACCATGGGCTTGGTGGGAACCATCTTAACCATACCTGCATCACCATTCTTCAAAAACTTGGGCTCCTTCTCAATTTCCTTACCAGATCGCCTGTCAATCTTGGTGATAAGTTCAGCAAACTTCACAGCAATGTGAGAGGTGTGGCAATCGAGCACTGGTGCGTAACCATTTCCAATCTGTCCAGGATGGTTCATGATGATGACTTGGGATGTGAAGTTGGCAGCTTCCTTGGCAGGGTCATCCTTGGAGTTGGATGCAACAAAACCACGCTTAAGATCCTTGACTGCAACATTCTTAACATTGAATCCGACATTGTCTCCTGGTAGAGCCTCAGTGAGAGCCTCGTGGTGCATCTCAACGGACTTAACCTCAGTTGTCAAACCAGTAGGAGCAAAAGTAACAACCATACCGGGCTTCACAACACCAGTTTCAACTCGTCCCACTGGCACAGTTCCAATACCACCAATCTTGTAAACATCTTGCAATGGAAGCCTGAGGGGCTTGTCTGAAGGTCTCTTTGGCTCGTTGATGTTGTCAAGGGCATCAAGGAGAGTTGGTCCCTTGTACCAGTCAAGGTTGGTGGACCTCTCAATCATGTTGTCACCCTCAAAACCAGAGATTGGAACAAAGGGAATTTTGTCTGGGTTGTATCCAACCTTCTTCAAGTAGGAAGATACTTCCTTCACAATTTCTTCATACCTACCCTTGGAGTACTTGGGGGTGGTAGCATCCATCTGTTACGAAAGAGTGAAACCTGAGTAAGTATCTACAACTCAAATCAACGGTTGGTAATAATGTACATGCATGAAAAGAGAATCCCTAGAACTTTACCTTGTTACAACAACAGATCATCTGCTTCACTCCAAGAGTAAAAGCAAGAAGAGCATGCTCACGGGTCTGTCCATCCTTAGAGATACCAGCCTCAAAACCACCAGTGGTGGAATCAATGATAAGGACAGCACAATCAGCCTGGGAGGTTCCAGTAATCATGTTCTTGATGAAGTCACGATGTCCAGGAGCATCAATGACTGTGCAGTAGTACTTGGTGGTCTCAAATTTCCACAAGGCAATATCAATGGTGATACCTCTTTCACGCTCAGCCTTAAGCTTGTCAAGAACCCACGCATACTTGAATGAACGCTTGTTCATCTCAGCAGCTTCCTTCTCAAATCTCTCAATCACACGCTTGTCAATACCTCCTAGCTTGTAGATCAAGTGACCAGTGGTGGTTGATTTTCCAGAGTCGACATGTCCAATGACGACAATGTTGATATGAACCTTCTCTTTTCCCATGATATCTTAACTGCAATTCACCAAGAAATTCAAAAGTCAGAACTAACAAGCAAATAGATCAGAAATCCAATACTGTCATAACAACTAAAAACCCGTATTAACTAAAACATGTTCAAAACATGTTCAAAACAAATTCAAAACAAATTCAAAACTAATAAGCTAGAAATCAACAGCAGCAAATTCAAAACCAGATACACAAATAAGATCTAATAAAACACTTAAATCAATCATTATATCACAAGCAAACCCAAATTATGTAAGAGTCTTACCTCCAAACTAATCAATTAATAAGAAAATTAAATCCCAAAAAACAATTTATAAATTTTTTGAAACATATCAATACCTTGTGTTATAACATACAAAACTGAGGAATAGAAAATCAATTTTTGAGTAAAACATGCCACTGTTTAAAGTACCAGAAAGAAACAATCAAAACTCTAAAAAAAACATCATTTTCATCAATTAAACGAGCATCAATTTGAAATCAGAGTCTAATCTTAACAGATCCATAATTAAACAACCATAACACAAAAAGCTCATACTTTCAAAATCAAATTACTTGATTTGAACCAAAATTCACCAGATCTATACATACAGAAAAACAATCTGTTCAATCAGCTAAACCAAATCAAAAATTACGAACACAAATCGATTTATTCCAAATCTAAATTTCTCAAACATTTGAACAAAATTAAGCAAATCAAGGAAGCTAACAAAATCATAATCATGGAATACAACAAATCAACACCATAGATCGAATCAAAGAAAAATGACTCGAAGGATTTTACCTTAGCAGAAATGAAATCGAAGATTACTCGTTCGGAATCCTCAGCCGCAGAGTGACTGAGCTATGTAAAAACAAGTAAAGAGTGGTAATGAAAAAACTAGGGTTCAAGTTTTTTTATAGTGAGAAAAATATTTTTTATATTCCAAAAGTATCCTTGGTTTTCTTATGGATTTCCTGAAATGCCCTCGGTTTGTTTATTTGAACGTTGTATTTGTTTCACCCTCATAAGGAAATACGTGTGTACACTGTGTTTCTCTCGTCGATTTTCTTCTAGGTCCTTCTTGGAGTTTGAAGTCACACGCCGTGTGATAGCGTGAAGAATATGCTTTAGTGAGGTTTTTCATATGAAAGGAAGAACCATCTATTAAGCAACCACAAGATTTTGAATTTAATATATCTATCGTCCACACGGGTATGGGCATTTGCGTGTCTGTCTGTTCGTTTTTTTAATGGACGCATGAAAAAGTTTAAATAATATTTTTTTATATAATATTAATTTTTAAAAAAAATTATGTAAAAAATTAATAATAAAAAGTTGGATAAAAAAGTTAATAGTGAGAAGTTATGTTAAAGATGATAGTAGTAGTTTGATAAGAAGTTATTGTGTTAAATAAGGGTAAAATTAATTAAAAAAATAGACTACACCAAAACACTATATTTTGTCTTTATATATGTTATAGATTATGTCCATAGTTAGTCATAATTTTTTAATTAATTTCCGATTTTATGGTTCCTTATTTAATAAATATTATAGATAAAATATCTTTAAAACAATTATGTTAGTTAATATATATTTTTTATAAAATTTTATATAAAAAGCGTTAATTTGGAATGATGTTGCATACTAGTAAGAAAAAACTTAAATTTTTTACTCAACAAATATGTTATATTAATATTTCTATTATTATCTTCCTAATTTCATTTGTATTCTCAAGTTTATATGATTTTTTATTCATCTTTTTTAACTTTCTTCTTTAAAATTTATGTTCAAATATCAAAGTATTTTAGTAATTCTTTAAACAATCAAAGTTGTGAGACATTTGGATATGTGCTCAAAAATAATAAGAAGAGGGAGTATTATTGTCAAGAGGTGTGTGTTCTTCGTACAGTTACATATATGAATAGTGTGAATGTTAGGAAAAAGTTTTATAGTTGTAAAAATTACAAAACTCAAATGAAAAAGGGATGTAATTTTTTTAAATGGTTATTTGATGAAATTGTAGAAGGAGAGAATTTGAAGATTGAAAGGCAAATGAAGAAATTTTTTAAGTTAAAAAATGAGGTTGTCCACACAAGAGGGATGTTGAAAATGTCAATGGTGTTTGGCCTTTTTTGCTTAGGGTTGAATTGAGTGTTTTTAACAATGTATTTCAAATAGAGTTGGTTGATTGTATGTGTTGAATGAAATCTATGTAATACATGTGTTCGTTCTATTATTTTGGACAATTTATATAATATCTTTGTTGGTTTAATGAAATTTGTTTGAAATTTATACAATCATTGTTAATGTTTTACTCTACTGTGGCATAATGTGTTATGTTCTATTTTAAGAAAAAAATTGTAGTACATGAATCATTTTAGTTGAAGGACTCAAAATGTTCAGTTTGATAGATAAATGACTAAATTGAAACATTAAAGTAATTAAAAGGACAAATTATGTTATTTATCAGACATGTTATATTTGGTAGCATAGAGTAAATTCTCCATGTATAGGCAATTTATCAGACCAAATATGATACAAAGCTGATATTTATCATGAGGATAATATTGAATTAAACAAAGACGGTTGCATTAACATGATTACAAATAGAATCTTGTTACATTGAACCATGTTGGCATTAAAATCATAATGCAACCATAAAATGCAACCCCTTCAAACATAAAAATATCAAACATGGAGCATTGGTGATTTCAATTACAACGGAAAAGATTTTCAGCGAATTAGGGCTCACAAGTTCTTGAATCTGGTAGCAAAAATTTTAAACTATGAGGGTTTAAATTCTTAATCTTCGGATTAGGGACCAACATATTTGAAATTTCTCCAAATTATGAATCTCGGGCATGGGGAGAGGATGTGATCGAATGAAGAAACAGGTGACTGCTCCACCTCTAGAAATGATGAGAGTGTTCTCACCACACTCAGCCACAGTGGTAGGGGCCAGTGCTAGGAAGAAAGGGAAGACAAACACAAATGGGGTGACATCGAGAACACAAGAAATCCAAGTGGAGGATAACGATGGACAACAATGGAGTTTTAAAAATGCTCAATGTGGTTCTGAGGTTTCTTGCACTATCTTGGTGTATTTTGTTGTTATTTGTTGATGAGAAATGATATGATATGCAAATTTTTATATAGAGGTTTTAACTTTGGTTTGGAGAGAAGTTTGGATAAAGTGTGAATATTGTTCAATAGACAAATGCAACAAAACCAAAAAAGTGGTGAAAGGTACAAGTAGCATTCGCTTTATAGTGTGGCTGCAAGTTGACATTCTCGAGCCATTCTCAGATTGTACAAGCTATATCTAATGTGTAGAGCAACTCTCTTGGCTTCTTGAACAAACAAAGGTCAAAAAGAAAATTTTCACACATTGTCCATGATGCAATTGAAGTTGGCACATTAGACCAAGCTTTTCTCTTTCTCTCATGTATTGAAATCAATTTTGCAGAAATTTGGTATCAAAGTGAAGATCTTAAATGATACTATAAGTTTCATATTGATCACAACCTGAAAAGGTGCTTAAAAAATGCCCAAAAGTAACTCCAAATTCGTGTGAACCAAACTGACCCATAACTTAGAAAAATTATGGTTCATTTGTAATTGATCACCATGAATGAAATCTCAACTTTGATCATCAATATCTCTCAATTGGTAAAAGCTTTTTAGACCAAATTTTCCACTAAGATGAAGTATGAGATGTGATCTTTAATTGCAGCCCTTAAGCATCAAAAGTGGTGGATTGAATTGCTCACAAAGTGGCCACAAAGTCATGCACTTGACAATGTTAAAAACTTAGAAAAATGTCTAAGTGTTTTGGATTTTGTAACAACTTGAACTCTAAACTTTTGCCATCTATTTCTTCCACTTCAATAAATCTTTTGGCCATCAATTTTTATCAACTTGTAGTATAAAATGTCATTTTTAAGTGAAACCCTCAAGTGTTTCCATTAGATGTTGAAGAAAAAGTCATAACCTTGGAAAGTTAGCCTTTTGATCATGGATTTGTATACTTAGAAAAATTCTAAGTTCTTCAATTTTGACAACTTTGATCCTTTTTGTGATATTCTTGATTCAACTTGATTAAATTCAAACATATTGCACATTTTCATGATTATTGACTTGACGAAACCATATTTGGCCAAAAATGTCAAAAGTCAAACTTTGACTTTAATCATTTGTTAACTTTGTATCAGATGAAATCAAACCCTTAAACTATCAATGAATCACACTTCTTGAGCTAGGATCACATGAATGGACTGTTAGAACACAGATTGGTTCTTAATAATATCTCTATGTTTTGATGATAACTATTAGGAAATTTTGTATTTAAGAATTATATACTCTAAAATTTGATTGAGAGTTTTTACTGCAGATAGTAAAGAAATTAATACTCCAGAAGCAAATTAGAATTGAATACAAGAAATTAGCTAGACTCTGTAGCGCCAGATGCATACATTAGAAGATTCTGATTGCTGCTAACAGAAGATCCTGAGCGTAGCCTCCAGAAGGATCTGAAGCAAGAAGCTCTAGAAGATTCTGAAGCAGAAGCTCCAGAAGGATCTGAAGCAAGTCAGAAGCATCTGAAGCAAAGAAGAATTTTGTATGAAGAGCTTTTCAAAGCATAGATTCTACAGAAGATTCTGAAAGTACTAAAGTTGCCAGTACTGAAGTTCTGTTTCAAGATATGCTCTGATATTTAACACGCTGAAAGCACACATGCTGCAGAAGACTCTGATCCAGCAAGCTCTGATCATCATCAGAAGACTCTGACTCAATTAGACTCTGATGAACTTGCTGAAAACTGAAGAAGAAATATTCAAAGATTATATCCGTTGGAGTAAATCAAACGTCTCTTTCCTCATTTATGCTAGACACAAGAACACAGACAAAAAGGATTTTTCAGTGCTTTCTTCTTCTAGGAAAGGTCACTTGATGTGAAGACAAAAAAGCTCAGACCTTTTGGGACACTCTTCTCAACGTGCAGCTCACCTTGGA